GCTCAGCAGCAATTCCTATTGGCTTTCGAAAGCCAATAGGGGGAGTAGCACAGTTCATGCAAAAGTTGAAAAAAACCATCAAAAAAGGTCCCGAAATGCCTTCTGAGCGTTCTATGAGTAAAGAAAAGCCCTGCAGATTAGTCTTCAAATATAAAAAAGGAGGACATCTAGTCTTCAAATATGGAAAAGGAGGATATCTAGGAGGACACTTTTTGAGGGAGGACAAAACTTAAAAAAGGAGGACTGTCCTCCCAAAAGGAGGACGGTTGGTCACCTTACTATTTTCTTCTTTTTTTAGTAGTTAGCTTTCTGGTTTCTGTGTTGTCTTCCATCCAGGATCTCTCTTTCATTTTTTCCTTCATCAGTTATGTTTAGTTCCTTTTTCCTTCTGATAGTGCTGTATTGTCAGAAGTTGTATTTGGACTGGTTAATTTTAACCTTGGCTCATGTCCCATTACTCTATAAGGAAGATGCTGTTTCTCTTTCACTCTCATGCCATCCCCCAGTTGCTGGCTGTTCCCTTTTGAGAGGTGGGAGGGGGAGTCTGCCATCCTCATTAAGTTTCTAGAGATGGGTCTGTGTTTCCTTCCAGGGCTGTGACCCATGGGATAGGGAAGGCTGTGGCTGAACATTTATCCATTACTGCACTTAACAGTTGCTTACCTTCCTCCTAACTAAGGTGACCAATCGTCCTCCTTTAGGGAGGACAGTCCTTCTTTTGTAAGTTCTGTCCTCTCTTGAAAAGTGTCCTCCTACATGTCCTCCTTTTCGATATTTGAAGACTAATCTGTAAATCTCCGTATTCAATCGATGCTAATCCGATCCGTTGCACGTGATGTGACGTATTTGTATTTGACATGACGATTCGTCAAGGCTCGGTGCAGTGCGGCGAGACGCAATTATGAGACGCATGCACTCCGCACAGGAGAATTGTTTTGAGAGAGAGTGCCGTGTGCAAGAATGCGCTGCATGCAAGTGGCTTTGTTTATTTCTTACACGGCACACACGCCCACATTAGACTCACTTTTTTTTCTTCAATTTATTTGTGTCCTCCTTCTCATTGTAAAAAAATTGGTCATCTTATCCTAACAGCACTTTGATATAGCTGCTTGACTGGATTTGTTTAAAAGGAGTTTTGCTCTTCTCCAGCTGGATTTTAGTTTTTCAATGAAGGCCAATGCTAACATACCTAGGCCTAACACTGGGAATGTTTGCTGATCGTAGGTGGTTTACACACATACAGTCTATAAATCCTAAATTATCTCTGCCTAGGTACTCTTGCTCATAAGCTAAATACAGAATGTATTCTGGGAGTAGTAGATCTTGCTGGTACATGCACTGTAATCTATCTAGAGTATCCGGCCTCTATTTGAAGACTGCCACAGAAAGAAGATTTACAATTTCGTATGGCAACTTATCCCCCTGACTGGCAGCTGTTATACTCTGGAAGTTCCTCTTGATGACTAGCCTGAACATATTTTATTCTACCTTAATGTATTACTTCTGGTCCTATTTTCTAGGTTGATAGAGAAAAAGCCTGTCCTGTATGTGACCATATTCAGATATTTGACAGTTTCTGTTTTTTCTGTAGACCAGATCCACCTAGATCCTTTAACATTTACTTCTAGAGTTTGTCTTCCAGATACCCTAATATCTTAATAGCTATCTTGAACTTGCTCCAATTTCTCACTGTTCCTTTTGAATTGGGCTTTCCAGAACTAGACACAATATTCCAAGTTTCATCATGGTAGAAAACAATGGTACTATTATCTTCCATGATTGGAACGCTATCCTTCAGTTCTTGCACCTTGAGGTAGTTCTTGCCTTTCTAATAGCTGTGCGACTTTGCTGGCTCATTCTAACTTGCATCCTTTTCACATGTAGTATTACAAACCAACTCTCCCCTATCCTATACAAGTCCCTTTCTTTTCTCTTTCTTTTCCATCCCAGATGCATAATTTTATATTTTTCTTCATTCAGTTCCATTTCCCATCCTCATGTATTCTCTTCACAAAACATAAACCCACCACTTTAGTATTATTTATTAATCCATCTCTTCACATTAATTCATCTCCTCACCAATGTATATTCTGTGGACTCTGGAAGAAGAGTAGAATTGAATATACCTGTAATCACTAATCAAGACATTGATTGCTGGAACTTCCTCTCCAACAGGAAGGAAACAGGGACGATGCTATTTTCTTCTTAGAATAATATGAAAGAGATTTTATATCCTTAACTCAACTTCTTGTAAACCAGCTTTGCAGAGATGTACATTAAACTTAGTTGCTAATTGTTCTTTCCCTTCAGTGAAGATTAATGTTAACAAAGAGTAGGTTGGGCTGTGAAAGCCCCTCTGTTTTCATCAAGAAGCAATTCCACTATTACGACAGTTCTAACTGTTTCAAATATGTTTCTATGATTTAGACATGAGAAAATGCTACTACTTATTTCAGCAGCTAAATGAACATTGAACAATATTTTGAACATATCCCAATTTATGTTAAGAATACTTCTTTCAGATATGATATATCTGAAATGTATTGCTAGGTTAACCTACCAATGGTCAATCCAGACAATTTTTTGTTGTTATTATCATATTCTGTCATTATGTATTACTTATCAATTCAATCAATTTTATAGCAAGTGTAGAAGGATTGCTGACATCTTTCTAGGCAGTAGAAGTCAAGAAGTGGCAAAGTGTCCCAGAAACATAGTGAGAAGTCCTATTATTATAACTTTCATAGCACAGAAATTAAAATACAAATGAATCAGAGCTGCACAATATAGGCCCTTTGAGTTATAGAGCAGAGGTAGCTTTATATTTATTTGTTTGTTGTTTTTGCGAACATACACAACAAACCTTCCTCTTCCTATTTTTCCCACTAGAACATCTCTGTGAGATGGCTGAGAGAGTGAGTGATTGGCCCCAAAGTCACCTAGCCAGCTTTCATAACTAAGCTGGGACTAGAACTCACACTCTTTTTAACTAGACCAAACTGGCTAGACCAAACTGCTTGAATGATTCTGGAACCACAAGTATTCCAGCACTGCAGCTGAATTAGTTATTCCAAGATGCTAGTTTAAGGCTCAGAAAAGTTGGAGGGTGAATCTGAAATTGCACTAGATATACTAAATTTTAATAAACTTTATTTTGGTATCAGCATTCATTTGTTACTTTCAAGGTAAGGTGAGTAATACTTGCAAATATGAAACTTCACTTTGAAACTACAAGATACCTTTCATTTTTCAGCTTCTTAATGGTTGTGAAAACAATAGAATCACCAAACTTTATGTTGTACTGAAAGTGCCAGCCATTAAATACCTGCAAGATTCTTTGCTGTGTTCTCTGAGCAGATTTGCTTCACTGGACATCAGTAGGTTACACAGAAAGACTTAACTTTCTCATATGTATGTACTAGATTGTTAACTAGACCAGGGCTTTTCAACCTTTTCACCCATTGTACCACTTTTAGGATATGGCAATATTTGAGTACCACCAGTCGCCTAGCAAGGTATCAAAAAATAGATGATCAAAAAAAAAAAAAAAAAAAAAGGGAAGGAAAAAAGTGATGAAGTACAGGTAGTCCTTGACTTACAACTGTTCGAAGTTACAATGGCACTAAAAAAGTGCCCCCCAAGTCACAGTCAAGCAAGACACTGCCTGCCCGCCTGGCCGCACTCTTCTTCCTGTCTGACGTTTTCATTGTTGTGAGCATTTCTGTTGAGGATTGGCAGTGAGGGTGGGATGGGGGGGGGTGCTTGGTTTTTATTTCCCCCATCTGCTGGATGGTTGCAGCAGGTTTTGATCACTTCACATGACCCTGGGACACTGTGACCATCATAAATATGAATCAGTTGCCAAGCATCTGAATGTAAATCACAAGAGCCTGGAGATGCTGCAACATTCCAGCTGATCAGCGCTTCTTCTGGGTTCAGCAGAAGTGCCAGGATCAGTGCTGCTTTCCAGTTGATCGGTGCTTCTTCTGGGCTCAGCAGAAGCGCCAGGATCAGTGCCGAGCTCCAGCTGGAGCTTGGCGCTGATCCTGGCATTTTTGCTGAGCCCTGACAGCCCTGCAGCTCCAGCCATCTTTCGCTCAGGCTTGTACAGTGCTGCCACTGGTTCAGCTCATTCCCCTCCCCCGCTACCACTTTTCTAGGATGGTCACGTACCACCTGCCAGGTGCCAATGTACCACAGGTGGTACCCGTACCACTGGTTGAAAAACCTTGTGTTAATAGAATGCTGGAGGGTAAAGATATTAGCAGAGATCTTAGACAAGCAATTGTTGCTGCTCATCAATCATGGGAAGAGTTATAAGGCCATTTCTAAGCAATTTAAAGCCCATCATTCTACAATGAAGAAGATTATTCACAAGTAGAAAACATTCAAGGCAGTTGCCCATCTTCCCAGAAGTGAAGGTCCCAGCAAATTCACCCCTAAGTCAGACCGTATCATGTTCAGAGAAATTGCAAAACATCGAAGAGTTACATCTCAGACTCTATAGGCCTCAATTAGCATGTTAAATGTTAAAGTTCATGACAGTAAACAGAAAAAGAGACTGAACAAGTATGGTTTGTTTGAAAAGGTTGCCAGAAAGTCTCTTCTCTCTAAAAAGAACATGGTGGCAAGGTTTAGGTTTGCAAAGTTCCATCTGAACAAATCACAATATTCCTGGACCACTGTCCTTTGGACAGATGAGACCAAAGTGGAGATGTCTGGCCATAATGCACAGTGCCACGTTTGGCATATCAGCAAAAACATATCATATCAACCATCAGGCACGGTGGTGGAGCACCTATTGCATCCTGTGTGTTGCAGAATTTCTAGTGTTTAATTCCTTTTTAGAGAAGCTAACAATACTGAATTAGCAAAGCAATATATGTGGGTTAAGTCCTGATCCGGATCTTTCAGATTTTCTCCTGTACTCTGTCATTTGTTTAATGTGTGTAAGAAGATTGTCTTTGACCCTAAAGATGGAAAGAAGACCTATATGAAGATTATTTTTTGTCATATGATAAGAGTTTTCTCTATCTCTTTATTGCTAGTTATGGTGAAACATTTTGTGGGAAAAAAAGGATCAGCTATGTAATTGGTGTAATCTGGGAAAGAAATAGTGTAATTGTAATTAACAAATCAAGGCTTTGATTACTGCAATTTCCTCTTAAACATTCAACAGGAAGAAATCGTGGACAACATTATTTTCTTCCTAAAATAATATGAAAGAGGCTTCCTTTCTTTAACTCAACTTCTTGGAAACCAGCTTTGCGGAGGAGCACATTCAACTCAGTTGCTGACCGTTCTTTCCCTTCAAAGTAGAGCAACATTAACAAGGCGTAGATGTGGGCTGCTAAAGGCCCTCTCCTGTCTTCATCAAGAAGCATTTCCACTATTAAGACACCGCCACCTGTTTCAAAATATATTTCAAAGATTTAGAGGTGAGAAAATATTGCTATTTATTTCACAGCCCAATGAATATTACATAATATTTTGAAAATATTGCGTTATGAATCCTTCTTTCAAACATGTTATGTTTATTCCTGCCAATGGTCAATACAAACCAATTTGTTGTTCTTAGAAATTTTGTCAATTTGGAGATATTTTAATTATTCTCCAAGGCTTTCCCCTCAATCTTCTGTAGAAATTGACCATTAAAGATTTTCCTTGCCAAAATTCTGTTTGTGTTTCATTATATTATATTATAACAGTAAAGGTTTCTGACTCTAGGGGCAGTGCTCATGTCTGTTTCTTAGCTAAGGAAGCCAGTGTTGTCCAAAGATACTTCTGTGGTCATATGGCCAGGATGACTATATGCTGAGGAGTACAGAAAGCTGTTACATTCCCACTGAAGTTGTTAAGTCCTTCGTGAAATGGCAATGACACGAGAAGCAGTTGTAGTTCTCAGGAACCTCTTTATTTCTGTTCAGCATACTGGTTACAAGACGCCGACAACGCCCAAATCTCCCTGCCCTTTTTATAGGCGATTCCCGGGCCAAACTGCAACATTTGGCGCGCCAGACAGCCAGTCTGGTCCCGGGCAGCTTGCACCTGCCCGGGACCGTTGCAATGCCCCGAGACTGCTTTCACAGGCTCAGGACATAACACCCCTTCCCCCCCGGCTAAGACTATGATCATACAAATAATAATATACAACCCAATACGAGTATGGTACCCATACTAGCTTTGTACCAGTTATCCTTTTGCTTCTATTGTTTCCCAGTATTCTATTTCCTATGTGTACAGGAATACTCTCTGTTAACTCTGTTTTGCCAGTAGGGTTACAAAATCTTCTAAATACTTAGGAGATCTTTTAGCTCTCTGTGACCTCCTGACTTCTGGGTACCTTCCAAGTACCCCTTGACTGAGGGGTGATGTATGCTTGTCTCCCTTGCTAGGCCCTGGTGATCCCCAAGGACTGTGCTCCAATGCCTGGCCTTCTTGCTTACCCACCGGGCTCGTCAGGCCAGGGCTTCTTTCTCTGTTTGACCTGGTTGTCCTGCCTGGCTGCAGGCTCTCTGGCCCTCTTAAGTGACTGTCACTATTGGGCAACTCTTTAGAACCTCCCAGGTCTGTCCTAGACCTGTCAAGAAGTTGTCTTTCCCCGTGTTCCCGTTCTGTACCCGGGCTTGCTGGGGTTTCAGTACTGTCCCAAAACTCAGTTGTCCCCTGAGTAATGCCAGAGGTGTTGTAGTCGGGATTCGGTTCCTCGACCACCTCCCTGTGTGCTTGCCCCCTTCTAGGGACAGGGGCAGTGTTGGGCCAACTAGACGGAATGTGTGCCAGCTCTCTTGCAGGGTGTGGGTTGTTTGGACGCTCCCGGATATCCTCCCTGACTGGAGTACTGAGTGATGCGGGTGAGTAGTGATTATGCCCCCGGGGTGACTCCCTGGCTGGAGTAGGCACTGGTGCCTGAATTCTAGTTGGGCTCCATGAATTTCTGTTTGGAGCACTCGCGGAATCTCAGAATGAGCTGTCTGTAGTTCTCTCGTTAATGATAGGCGGCAGCCCGCACTCTTCCCTTTGCCCAAAGGGGTCCCCCTCCTCCCCTGGAAAAGAACCAGGAGTCTCAGTGGGAAGGTCCCGTCTAGTGTGGAGCTGGTCGATGTGTCATCACAGGACATGACCGTCGTCCAGGGAAACCTCGTAGGACAAAGGACCTGTGACCCTGGACACAGTGGCAGGGACCCATGAATGACCAGGCCCGTAGTTACGAGTCCAAACCGGGGCACCCACAAGCAGTTGTCTAGGTGCCCTGGGGTATGTGATTGTGGAAGGTAGTCAGTCTGGGTGCAACCGGTCAAGCTTGGTGGTCAGTTTGCGCTCCAACAAAGTTCAGCTGGGCTCCTCCTGGTAGAAGTGGAAGGTGTAGTGCAATAAGAAAGGAGGAAGTCAGCCAACCTGTGATGCCAGTCTCCATAGGTAATTTTCTTCAAAGCGTCCTTGGTGATGCGAACCATGCGTTCAGCCATACCGTTGGTGGACGGGTGGAAAGGCGCAGAGGTGGCATGACGAATCATGTTGGCCTGTAAGAAAGCTTGGAATTTGGAAGAAATGAATTGAGGGCCATTGTCAGATACAAGGACATCAGGAAACCCGTGTGCAGCAAAAATCCACCTCAGTACTTGAATAGTCTTTGCAGTGGTGGTGGAAGAGACAGGTACAACCTCAAGCCATTTTGAATGGCTGTCAACCAGGACCAAGAAGAATTGACCCTGAAAGGGCCCAGCGTAGTCAATGTGCACCCTAGACCATGGAGACTGTGTTTTCTCCCATCTATGTACAGGAGCTTGGGGCATTTCAGGGCGTGAGCGCTGACAAAGGTGGCATGCATGCACCTTAGCCTCAATGTCTCTGTCTAATCCAGGCCACCACAAATGGCTGCGCGCAAGGTCCTTCATACATACAATGCCAGAATGACCCTTGTGCAGGGAAACTAAGACCCTAGTCCTCATTGAGGCAGGAATGACAACTCTGCTCCCCCAAAGCAGACAACCCTGGAAAGTGGATAACTCGTTCCTTTGGGACCAGAAACTCTGAAACTCAGTGCCTGGACAGCTCTCTGGCCATCCAGATAAAACCCAAGATAGGACACGAGAAAGTGTGAGATCTGTGGCAGATTCAGCAGCCACATCCCTGGCATCTAAAGGGGACTCAGGCAAGGCCTGAATGGAGAGGATATTGATTGTTGGTGCAGGGTCAGCCTCTATTACTGGCAGGGGTAATCTACTGAGGCCGTCAGCATGGCCCATTTCTTTCCCAGGTTTGTGAAATAAGGAAAAATCATAGGCAGACAGAAAGATAGACCATCTCAGCATTCTGGGGGAGATGATTTGGGGAGTTTGTTTATGTGTGGTAAACAGCCCCAACAAAGGCTTATGGTCAGTGAAGATCGTGAAATGCCTGCCATATAGGAAATCGTGGAACTTTTTGATTCCAGCAACAACAGCTAAAGCCTCTCTGTCAATTTGAGCATAATTTCGCTCTGCTGAAGACAAGGTTCTGGTGTAGTATGCAACAGGAACCTGAGTTCCATCCGGTCTGAGGTGGCTTAGTACGGCTCCCACCCCATAAGGAGAAGCATCACAAGCGATGCACACAGGAAGGGATTCATTTAAATGTGCAAGCACACTGTTAGAAGTGAGTAAGGCCTTAATCTCATTGAAGCTTGCTTCATATTTTTGTGACCACTGCCACACTGCCTGTTTGACCAGGAGCCTATGAAGAGGCTTGGCTACACTAGCCTTGTTTGGAAGGAAGGAGTTGTAAAAGTTCAGAAGGCCCAGAAAAGCCTGTAGTTCGGCCTTGGACTTTGGCCTAGGAGCATGCATAATAGCTTTCAATTTGGATTCAGCAGGGTGAATCCCGGTAGCATCAATTTTGAATCCCAGAAAATCTGTAGAAGGCACCCCAATTTTACATTTGTCCTTCTTAAGTTTGAGGCCCGTTTTCCTGAACCTCAGCAGAACAGCCCTTAATCTCTCAGCTAAGTTGTGTGTAGAGTCTCCAGCAATTAAGACATCATCAAAATAGGGGCAAACCCCTGGTATACCCCGTAGTGTGTTTTCCATTATGCTTTGGAAAATTCCAGGAGCAACATTTACTCCAAATTGTAACCTCTTTACCTTGAATGCCCCCCTGTGGGTCACAATGGTTTGAGCTACAGCAGCAGCATCATCAACAGGCAACTGTTGATACACCTGAGCTAGGTCAAGCTTTGCAAAAACACGCCCCCCCTTGAGGGAGGCCAGAATATGACTGACCACAGGAACAGGATAGGCATGTTGCTGCAATGCCTTATTCAGAATGCATTTGTAATCTGCACAGATGCGAATGTCCCCATTTGCCTTAAGGGGCGTGACAATAGGGGTCTCCCAAGGACTGGAGTCGACAGGTTCTAAAACTCCTTGCTGAATCAATTTGTCCAATTCGGTGTCAATTTTACCTTTCAAGGCAAAAGGAACCCTTCTTGCTTTAATTCTGATAGGGGTGACAGTGGGGTCTAATTTCAGTGACACAGGGGGTCCTTTGTACGTGCCCAGCTGTGCGCTGAAAACATCTGCAAATTCTTTGCAGACTTCTTGTAGGTCTACTGTTTGCAAGCTATTGAGCCCTGTGACGTGTATTCCCAAGGCCTCAAACCAATCGAGTCCTATGAGACTCGTTCGTTCACCCCCTACTACTATTACATCTAGTGGACCTTCAAAATCCTTATACTGTACGTTAAGGGTGGCCTCCCCCTTAACACACACTCTGGAGTTTTGAAAGTCTGTTAACACAATGTTGGAAGGCCTCAGCTTGGCCTGAAATCCGCTGCCAGAACAAATCTTCCTAAATGTGTGCATGGAAATGATTGAAAGGGCAGACCCCGTATCCAGTTCCATAGCCAATGGAATCCCTTGTAGCTTCACTTTAAGTGATAGCTTTTTCTTAATGGGCTTGTGTGTGCCTGTCCTATAAATGCTTCTTCGCGAAGCACAGAAACCCACCCTGTTTTGGCTGGGGACCCTGGTACCTTTCAGGCGCAATTCTTCCCGAGGTTGTACCTTCGGACGGCCCAGACACACAGCTGCAATGTGTCCCTGTTTTCCGCATGCCCTACAGATAGCGGAGCAGAATCTACAGTTGGTCCTCTTGTGGCGACCTCCACAACTGAGGCACTTGGGGAGAGCTGAAGAGCTTTCCTTCTGTTTCCCTTCTTTCGTGGGGTAGAGACAGTCTACTTCATCGTCAGGATCCTCCTCTGGGTTCCTTTGGACTCCTTCCTGGTGCACGGACACAGCTTCTGGAGTGCTTCTGATCAGCCTCATGGTCTTGATGGCGCCGCCCGGTGCCTCTTCTGCAGTAACCTCTCTCAAGGCATCTTGGAATGATAAGTCTTCTTTAGCGAAAAGCCTCTGCTGCAATTCTCTATGCCTCAGTCCGCATACAAATCTGTCTCTCAGCCGTTCTTCTAGATCCTTGAACTCACAGTGTTTAGCAGCTTTTCTCAGCGCAGCAATGCATTCTCTGGCTGATTCTCCGGGTTGCTGATCCCTCTGTTCAAAGGTGTGGCGCCAAGCGATGATGGACAACTTGGGCTGGAAGTGTTCCTTTAGTAGTTTTTTGAGATCTGTGTAGTTAACAGATTCTAGAGGTACATTTGCTGCTATGTTTTCAGCGATTTCAAATGCGTCTTGACCGCAAACGCACAGCAGGGTGGCGGCTTTTAAACTATCTTCTCTTACTTGATTGACTTTAAGATAGTTTTCCACCCTGGCTACGTAGGACTCCCATCTTTCCGGATGCGAGACCTCGAATTCTGAAAGTCTTCCAACTTTTGCCATTTTTGTAGAAAAGGAAGGGTCTATCCGCCAGCTTACCCCCGATGTTCACTGGATTGGCGGGCAGCTGCTGAGTTGACGCCGTTCCTACTGCTCAGGACTCTAGGGTAAGCTTACACCTGTCTTCAGTCGATGTAAGGCAATCCCACCTTCGTCGCCAGTGTTAAGTCCTTCGCGAAATGGCAATGACACGAGAAGCAGTTGTAGTTCTCAGGAACCTCTTTATTTCTGTTCAGCATACTGGGTACAAGACGCCGACAACGCCCAAATCTCCCTGCCCTTTTTATAGGCAATTCCCGGGCCAAACTGCAACATTTGGCGCGCTTGCACCCGCGCATGCGCATGAGTGCTGGCGACAGCCAGTCTGGTCCCGGGCAGCTTGCACCTGCCCGGGACCGTTGCAATGCCCCGAGCCTGCTTTCACAGGCTCAGGACATAACAGAAGTCTTACCTATTTATCTACTTGCATTTGAATGCTTTTGAACTGCTGGGTGGGCAGGAGCTGGGGCAAGTAGCAGGAGCTCACCCCATCGTGTGGCACTCAGATCTCAAACTCTGGCTGTCAGCTTTCCAGGTAACAAGATCAGTGTCTTTAACAACTGAGCCATCGTTCTCCCATATATTATATTCTTATCAGCAGGTGCTAAGTGTGATGGTATGTAGCAGGTGCTTGTCTATTGGAATTCTAAAGTCTCAGAACACTTTAGCTTCTGCATTTTCCATTACTTTTGTCTATTTTGTGGTCAGTTTTTGCTTGTAGCAAATGGTATTTCTTGCACATATTCCAATGCACCATTGTTGCTACTTTGTCATGCTGTTATTTGTAGTCAGTCTGTGTGATAGTCTTGCAGCAACTAACTAGGTGGTCCATTGTTTCTTCAGCTTTTTTGCAGAGTTGGCATTTGCTGTCTGTTGCTATCTTCTCAATTCTGGCTTTGGCTAGAAAAGTGTACTGGCTGTGTAATACTATGTTTTGTCATTTCTCTTTTTTATTCTTTGCTTGAATTACAACCACAACTGAGCCCAAAATTTCCATTGCTAAGCAAGAAAATTCTTAAGTGACTTTTAGCTTATTTATTGCCACAGCTTTAAGATATTGGCTACAATTGTTAAATGAATCATGCTGTCATTGAACAAATCTGGCTTCTCCATTGAGTTTGCTTGTCAGAAGCTAGCTGGCAAGGTTATAAATGGTGATGATATGACCTCCAGGCAGTGCAATTGTTATAAATATTATATTATATCATCAAGAAGCATTTCCACTATTAAGACACCGCCACCTGTTTCAAAATATATTTCAAAGATTTAGAGGTGAGAAAATATTGCTATTTATTTCACAGCCCAATGAATATTACATAATATTTTGAAAATGCCCAAATTTTGCGTTATGAATCCTTCTTTCAAACATGTTATATTTATTCCTGCCAATGGTCAATACAAACCAATTTGTTGTTCTTGGAAATTTTGTCAATTTGGAGATATTTTAATTATTTTCCAAGGCTTTCCCCTCAATCTTCTGTAGAAATTGACCATTAAAGATTTTCTTTGCAAAATTCTGTTTGTGTTTCATTATATTATATTATAACAGTAAAGGTTTCCTCTGTCAAGTTGTGACCGACTCTAGAGGGGGTGGTGATCATTTCTATTTCTTAGCCAAGAGAGCCAGCATTATCTGAAAATACTTCTGTGGTCATGTGGCATGACTATACACTGAGCTGCATAGAATGCTGTTACATTCCCACTGAAGTCTTACCTATTTATCTACTTGCATTTGAATGCTTTTGAACTGCTGGGTGGGCAGGAGCTGGGGCAAGTAGCAGGAGCTCACCCCATCATGTGGCACTCAGATCTCAAACTCTGGCTGTCAGCTTTCCAGGTAACAAGATCAGCATCTTTAACAACTGAGCCATCGTTCTCCCATATATTATATCAAAATATAATATATCAAAATTCATGTTTTGTTATTGGTTATTTTATATATAATCAGCCAAAGCATACTCTACTTCCTTGACAGTTTGTTTGACTTGAAGTATAATCTATCAATATTATTATGGGGTTGTAAGACATAGTAAATAGTCATCAGTTTTATTGTTTTTCAGTCCAAATTGTCCAGTTCAGCTTATGTCCAGTTAAAATTCCGGCAGTATATGGGCCAGTTTTGATGGTGTTTCCCCCTTTCAATATTGTCATTAGCAACTTTCTCACTCTTTGGATGTATTCTCTATAAATCATATTTTTAACTTGTACATCCCTAATGATATCCAATTGATTTTGAATGCATTTGTTCTTAAAGCTTGGTCTTGTGCAGCCAGAATTAGCCCCTTTGTCTCTTTATTCAATTTTCCTGCTCTTAGCCATTGCCAGGTCCCGTTATCTGCTTTTCCGGATAGTTTATATTTTAGTGTACTGGCTGTGTAATACTATGTTTTGCCATTTCTCTTTTTTATTCTTTGCAAGTAATGCTTGAATTACAACCACAACTGAGCCCAAAATTTCCATTGCTAAGCAAGACAATTCTTAAGTGAGTTTTAGCTTATTCATTGCCACAGCTGTTAAGATATTGGCTACAGTTATTAAGTGAATCATGCTGTCATTGAACAAATCTGGCTTCTCCATTGAGTTTGTTTGTTTGAAGCTAGCTGGGACAGTTACAAATGGTGATAATATGACCTCCAGGCAGTGCAACTGTTATAAATACATGCCAATTGCCAAGTGCCCAGATTTTAGTCACAGGACCATGGTGATTCCGCAATGGTCAAAAGTGTGAAAACTGGTCAAAGGTCACTTTTTTCAGTGCCATTGTAATTTTGAACTATCAGTAAATGAATGGTTGTAATTCAAGGACTACCTGTATTTGATCCCTCTTACAGGCCACTTTGGTATCTCCAGTAAGCCCTCATGATGTACTAGTTTCAGTGATTCCTTATCCTCCTTCGTATATTCTTCCAATGACCTTTTTTCTTATACAACTATCTAGTGTACTTGCAACATTCCAAGCCCACCTATCTTCCTTCATAAGTAGAGTCTGTCAATGTTGGTGACCACCAAGCTGGTAAGAGTTTCTGTAATATACATCTCACCATATTTCTTATGGGAGACACATTCTTTGTCTGACTCCTCTGATGAGACCTGTCCAGTATGGTTGAACTTCTGGCATAGCTCTCATCTTCCTGAGAGCATAAAGCCCCACAACCACATCAATGTAATGCCTTACTGGGTTGTTATTATTATTATATTTTTCCACTATAAAGAAGCTATTACTTAGCAACTTAGTCATTTTTTTCAGCAAGTGTAGAAAGATTGCTAAAACATATATCTAGGCAGTAGAGGCCAAGAAACAGTAAAGAGTCACAGGGTCACAATGAGAAGTCTTATTCATTTGAACCACAGCCACTAAAATATGAATGAATCTGATCTGCACAACTCAGGCCCTTTGGGTTATACAGAAGAGATAGCTGCAAGAATCACTCTGGAACCACAATTTTTTCAGCACTGCAGCTGAATTAATTATTTTAAGATGCCAGTTGAAGGCCCAGGAAAACTGGATGGTAAATTTGAAATGACCCTAGACTTAGGGCAGTCCAAACTTGAGCCAAGTATGAACTTTGCCAGTTCCCTAGCAAATTTAACTTTTCCTGATTAAAGAATACCTACCAGGTTTGCAGGCTTGGTATACTTTGCGTAACAGCTGCAAACAACTCTCATCTGACCAGTTATGCAGAGTCCTGGCCAAAATGTACAGGTCTGCTTCAGGAATGGGATCTTTAAAAAAATCACCTACAAAAAATAAGTAAAATCTCATTTATTACATATCTTCCAGATTATTCTGACAGAATAATCTGTTTTCTCTTTTTCAAAAATCACAGAATCCAGTCTGTATGTGAAAGTTTCTTGTGCTTAGCAAGACATGAGTTTAACCCACAAGGAAGATTGCATCACATCCTTTACCTGCATGGAAAGTGATCCGGGTCTCTTCTGAAGAAAAACAATGGTTCTTGGATGCTTCCACTATTTCAGGGAGATCAAAAACGGTCACAGTACATTTTGGGTAGAGTGAAATCAGTTCCTTAGGTAAGCCACCTGTGCTTCCTTAAAGAAAGAACAAAATGTAATTAAGTAACAAAACAAAACTTTGCATATGTCCAGCTTTTTTCCCTGAAGTTACCCTGCCTGTTATTTTTCTGAGATTAATTGGAATCTAATAATATCAAAAATGAGACAACTTCTTCCAAATTTGCTATGCTTCATATCATCGAAAACAAATGCTAATAGGGAAAAAGAACAGAGATTGAGTCAATTGATTCTCAACTTTCATATGGTCCTTCCGTGCTATGAGAATTCCTTAGGATGGATGCACTGATTAGTCACAATGATCAAAAATAATGTCTTTTGATGCAGTTTGAAGACACAAAAACCGAACATCATCTCAGAAGGCACCAAATCCCACATCAGCTTCAGTCATGGTCTCTTACATCTCCAAAATGTTTCCGGGCAAATCCAGTTTAAGGGTCCTTTATTGATCAGCCTGCTATTCTCTGATTTCATTTTTTTCCCATCTATGGTCAGCACTGGAAAAGGGGAGGAAGAGTACACTGTTTTCTTTTCAGAAATGTCTCCCTTTTCAAGCAGCCTCTGCCAAATTCTCCACTGACTGTATTATCATATCAGGCCAGAGTGACAGTTAACCATCTTTAAAACAGGACTATTTCTCAAAGTCTGCTACAGACATCTCAAAGTGGTTTTTGATCTCCTAAGGATTTCTCCTTTTCCACATACATTTGAGAAGATTTGTAAGAGAAGCTAAGAAACCATCCAGTCCATTGGCCCAACATGTGAAGAAGAGGGGAAAGGACTGGCGGTACTTACCACCCAGATCGCAAATGAGTGGGAACTGGGACAGATCAAAGGCAGAAAGCACTTCTCTTCCTAGCACAGACCAGAGCTCATTCATGAAATTGGAGAAGGTTTTTAACTCTTCCTTTGACCTAGAATTAAAACAAACATCACTCAATATAACTTTATAAAATGCTATTTATGCTGGACCAGATTGTAGCCACCTAGAACTGTGTTAGAGTATTTAGCATTTACAGGGTTAATGTTGTATCATTGAGAGAACTGTATGTAAGAATATGTAGCATTTAAAGGCTTACATGCCATTTCCTTAAGAGATGGCTTCTGGGTAATGTAGTTCAGTTGTTAGTTAATCCTATAGCTTATCTAGACAGTGGGAGGAGTTAAAAAGTTTATCAGTATGTCCGGGCTAAGTGTAAGGGTTGTAAAAATCCATTTGTAAAACCAAGCATATACACGCAAGGATAGCATCTGTAACTATGCTCAGTTGATATGGGGAATTACCACTTTTTTACCTACAAAAAATGGACAGATATGCAAAGACCGGACACATCTACAGCATAGTAAGTCTCTGCTTAGAATTCCTGGACAATAAATATTTGTTTAAAACCATTTTCGTTGAGTTTATGCTATCTGGACCAGAACTAGAAGGCATCTTAGTTCAGGTTCCAGAATGCTATTGTTTTTATTATTTTATATATCTATTTATGTTTGTATGAAAGGAATTCTTTTTACAGCATTATTTAAATGATGCTGATCAGGATCTGGAAAAATCTGCATGTGATACATGAAACTGCCCTACCATTTCAGTGGAAAGTGTTATAATATTCTTGAAACAAAGCACATTCACAAAGGTTCTCTAATTGCACACCTGTGCTTTCTATATAAACAGAAATGCCTGGTCAATTAGATCTGCCATAACTAGATTCCAGTGCCATAAAAGAGAGGTTGAATATGGTGAACATGATGGGTCAAGAACATATGATAGAGAAAATAATGACACTGTGAAGGATAATCATTTTGATCAGTTGCCCACAAAACAATTACTCTATTTAATGACCATTCTCTAAAATTATAATGTTACCTGTAAAAGGCCTCAAAAGTCTTGTTTGAGGGAGAGCCATATATTGATGGAATATATCAATATATACAAGGCATCTTAGTTCAGGTTCCAGAATACTATTGTTGTTATTGTTTTACATATCTATTTATGTTTGCATGAAAGGAACTCTTTTTACAGCATTATTTAAATAATGCCCTACCATTTCAGTGGAAAATGTTATAATATTCTTGAAACAAAGCACATTTGCAAAGGTGCTCTAACTGCACACCTGTGCTTTGTATATAAACAGAAATGCCTGGTCAGTTAGATCTGCCATAACTAGATTCCAGTGCCATAAAATAGAGGTTGAATATGGTGAACATGATGGGTCAAGAACATATGATAGAGAAAATAATGACACTGTGAAGGATAATCATATAACAAAAGGTAGATTCTGGTGTTACAACACAGATGGCTACCTCTGAGCCAGTGGGAGGAACAAGACCGAAGAGGTCTTCAACCGCAGATTTAGATGCACTGTTCCAAAGGTTTCAAGCCATGAGACATGGCAAAGTTTCTGACATGGAATGTTAATGGCTTGAATTCACCACAGAAAAGAAAGTATTTTACTATTTGAAACAACACAAGTATGATGTTATATGTTTGCAAGAGACTCAAATTGCTTTAAAAGACGAAAAATATTTGATTAACTCCCGGTTGGGAGTACATTTCACAGCCTCTGCTCTGCAGAAAAAAGCAGGTGTAGTTATTTATGTGAGGAAAGACTTATCACCAAAGTTAATTGATTCTGACTCACTAGGAAGATATGTTATTATTGACTTATTATTAAATGGCAAGAGAAGTCTTGTCATTGGACTATATGCTCCTAATCAACAACAAAAATATTTTTATAAGATATTACATCAGAAAATAACTCAATTGGATTATAAATCAGTAATTATGATGGGAGACTGGAATGGCATTTTAGATTCAAGTAAAGACAAGAAGCGTTCTTTTAAATCTCCTAATCATGCAAAATTACCTAAGGCTTTTTTTGACTTGAAGGATGATTTGGAACTTCAAGATATTTGGCGTGAACGGAGTATGGAAGAAAGAGACTTTATCTTCTTTTCGGACAGGCATCAATCATATTCCAGAATTGACTTTTTTTAAATTACTAATGATCTTTTTTCTAGGATGAAGAATGCTAAGATATTCCCAAGAATATTGTCAGATCATAGTCCTGTATGGATGGAGTTATCTACTGAAGACGGGAATAGAAGGACTTGGAGATTGAATGAAAATTTATTCAGATTTGAGGGGAATGTACAGAGATGCAGAGATTATTTAAAGGAATTTTTTCTTTTGAATATGCATAAGGGTACTTCGATGCCAATGGTATGGGATGCCAATAAAGCATATATGAGAGGGGTCTTGATTCATATGAATAATGCGTATAGACGTAAACAGATGCAGAAACGTAAAGAGTTGGAATCAGAGATTAAAACTAAGGAAAAGGCTCTTATCTTAAATCCATTGGATAATAATTTAAAGGTTTCTATTAGTTTGCTTAAGGAGCAATTTAATATGTTAATAGCTGATCAGATTGCAATTAATTTGAAGTATATGAAACATATTTTGCAATGCAAACAAACCTGGTAGGTGGTTGGCTTATCAACTACGAAAGAAACAGAAATCAAGGATTATACAAAAAATAAATTATAAAGGTAAAGACGTTTATCAACAAAATTTGATTAAAAGGAGTTTTTTAGATTTTTATTCAAAGTTATATGCCAGTGAAAACATACATGTTTTAGATATAGAAAAGTATTTACAGGAATCACATTTCCCTAAACTTACTTCTGATCAAAGAGATGAGATTAATGGTTTAATTACTTCTGATGAGATTATTTGGGCAATTAAACAATTGAAAGTTGGTAAGGCTCCAGGTACAGATGGATTAACAGAAATTTATTATAAAATGTTATCTGAAGAAATGATAGAACCATTGAAGGAACTTTTAAATAATATTCTATTGGGAGCAGAGGTACCTCCATCATGGAGAAGGGCTTTCATATCATTGATTCTGAAGGAGGATCAAGATTTGACTTAGCCCCAAAATTATAGGCCTATATCTCTTTTGAATACAGATTATACAATTTTCTCAAAAATATTGGCAAATAGATTAATGCGAGTTTTGAAGCAACTGGTTCATAGTGATCAATCTGGATTTATATCTGGAAGATATATGAAATATAATGTTAGACAAATTGTTAATCTAATTGAGTATTTGGACAAGAACAATCAAATCCCTGCGGCTTTGATTTTTTTTAGATGCTGAAAAAGCCTTTGATCAATTAAATTGGCAATTTTTACTCAAGAGTAGTAGAGGAAATGAATTTTGGGGATAAATTTTTATTTGCCCTTAAGGCAATATATCAACAGCAATCGGCACAAATTATAGTTAATGGGGGTTTAACAGAAGCATTTAAAATTGAAAAGGGTACAAGACAGGGATGTTCTTTATCCTCATTGTTATTTGTTTTAACCATGGAGATTTTACTTATTAAAATTCGGGAGTCACCTAGAATAAAGGGAATAAAAATAAATAAGAATGATTATAGGTTGAGAGCTTTTGCTGATGACTTGGTTGTGACATTATCTCAACCGACAGATTCAGTTAGGGATTTGGTTGAAATTTTACTTCAGTATGGGAAGGTTTCTGGGTTTAAGGTAAATAATAATAAGACTAAAATATTATCGAAAAATATGTCTATGAAGGAAAAGGATATTATAGTTAAATTAACAGGTTTTGAAATAGTGAGAAAGATCAAATATTTAGGAATTTATTTAACGTCCTCTAATGTTAAATTGTATAAAAATAATTATGAGATATTATGGGTAAAAGTGCAAAAGGATTTAAATGATTGGAAAAAATTACAATTATCTTTGTTGGGGAGAATTTCGGCAGTTAAAATGAATATACTTCCAAAGTTTCTTTTTTTATTCCAGATGATACCTATTTTGAAAAAAGATGCCAATTTGGAAGAATGGCAGAAGGGGATTAATAAATTTATTTGGGCAGGGAAAAAGCCGAGAGTTAAATTTAAAATTATGCAGGATACACGGGAAAGAGGAGGATTAAAGGCACCGAATTTAAAATTGTATTATGATGCAGTAGCTTTAACCTTGATTAGTGATTGGCTCAACTTAACAAATAAGAATATCCTATCTCCTGAGGGATGGGATTTATTATATGGATGGCACACATATTTAATTTATGATAAAAAAGTGGATCAGGTTTTTAAAACCCATATTTTGAGAAGTGCCTTGCTGCGTGTCTGGAAAAAGTATTACTATAGGTTAAATTATAAAATTCCAATTTGGGGGGTTCCAGGACACGTGATAGAGGGAGTATCTAGGGGAGTAAATTTGGATAAGATTTCTTATAAGGAATTACTTAGTTTGGTTGGGCAGCATTGGCAATTAAAGCCTTTAACTGAGTTGAAGCAAGAAAATATTGTATATTCTTGGTTTTATTATAATCAGTTGTTATTGAGGTGGAATATAGATAAAAAGGTTGGTATTATTTTAGAGGATGTGAATTTGGTAAAACAGATTAAAGATCAAAGTCGATTTCATATAAAAAGAATTTATAATGCTTTAATAGAATTGGACTCTGAAACGGAGTTAGTTAAAGATTGTATGATTAAATGGGCACAAAATATCCAAGAGCCAATTTTACTGGATACATGGGAGACAATTTGGGTTAGAAATGTAAAATTTACTCAAGCACAAAATTTAAAAAAAAATTTTTATAAAATGTTTTATAGATGGCATTTGGATCCCCAAAAGTTGTCCCACATGTATCCGAAATTACAGCCCAAATGTTAGAGATGTGGAAATTTAGATGCAACTTATTTTCATATTTGGTGGACTTGTAAAGATATTAAAGCTTTTTGGATTAAGATTTGGTGGAATATTCAAAAGATTTTTAAGAAAAAGATAAAGTTTGCTCCGCAATTATTTTTGTTGGGTATTATTGTAGATTTGGATGTTAAAGAAACTAATTTGATGTTGAACTTCATAACTGCTGCAAGATTATTGGTGGGGCAATATTGGAAGAAAAACTTATTGCCTACTTTGGAAGAATGGATACGTAAAGCGTCTAATTTAGCAGAAATAGCGAAAATCTCCGCCTATTTGAAGGATCATTCACAAGAAAGATATATTATGGTTTGGAGAAGATGGATTGATTATATTCAGAAGAAGTATGAAACTGAAAAGTATTATCTGGCTTTTGAATAGATTTTAGATAATTATTAATAGTATTAATGGTATTATTTTTGTCTTAATTTGTTAATATTTGTTTTGAGAAGGAGTTAAAGTGTATTATGGTTTTGATTGATAGTTTAGTTGGTTTATGTTAGCTAGACTATGTTTGTTTATTTGTTACCCTGTAATCAGCTCTGGGAAGTGGGGGAGGGGGGGATGGGTAGGTTTATATTGTAATTTGTAAAACTTTTAATAAAAAAAAGGATAATCATATTGATCAGTTGCCCACAAAACAATTACTCTATTTAATGACCATTCTCTAAAATTATAATGTTACCTGTAAAAGGCCTCAAAAGTCTTGTTTGAGGGAGCATCATATATTGATGGAATCTGATTTTTTCCTTTCCTAAAAGAATTTTAAAAAAGTTAGAAAGGAACAAGACAATCATCCTGGCATTTTCTTCTGCATAGAAGTAGATCCTGAATGTCTTACAGTATTTTGATAATTCAGAATTTATTCTAAACATTTCATTAAGCCAGTTCTTTTTCACTCTCTCAAGTACAGTGCAGTACGATCTAATGCATCTCTACCAAGAAATAAGCTATAAAGAACACCAGGCTGGTAAATTAGGTTGCTTACTTGAAGAAACTCCCCGGATGAAGGCAATAAACCCAACCCACTATTACACTTCTCCTTTTTAAAGTTACGAATCTTTTGTGTTTTTCTTTTTTGGAAAAAGTTCTTTTAATATTTTTAGTTTAAAGAAAGACTTGGGGGCAATTCAACAGGCTTTTGAATTCACTGTTGATGGATTTGTAGGGGAAAAAACACTACAAATAATAGTGTACAAAACAATAACAACAAAAACAATCTTTTTGTCTTAAGATTTACACTGGATAAATAGTTGTTCAGTCACTAGGTTTTGTCCTACTTTTCGCAAACCAATGGACCATAGCACACCAAGTCTCATGTCCTCCATTGTCTTCCCAGACTTTGCCCAAACTCATGATCATTTATTGATAACACTGCCTAACCCTCTCATCCTTTGCCCTCTCCTTCTCCTTTTCCCCTTCAATCTTTCCCAACTTCAGATCTTTTCCAATAAGCCCTCTCTTGTCATTTGGTGGCAAAAGTCAAATGGTTCCTTTCATTGTAGAATTTCAATGTTGTAAACAGGGATCATCATTCTAGTTAGCAAACAAGATAGGTAAGGTCTACCTGATGAAGATTGGAGTGATATACAGGTAGTCTTCAGGTTACGACCATTTGTTTAGCGAACATTCAAAGTTTGTATTAAATGAATGGCAGTTATGACTGGTCCTTGGAGTTCCAGCCATTGCAGCATCTATGCAGTGGTCATGATTTCTGATGTTTCCTGTCAGCTTCCTACAAGCAAAATCAATGGGAAAGCTGGCAGGAAGCTGGAAGTCGCAATCACATGAGGTCCTTGTTTATTGATCTATGCAGTCCTCATATAATGATGGCAACTGAGACTGTTAGAATTGCAGTTGCTAAGCAACATGGTCATGTGACAGCATGCTTTATGATTGCATGACCTTGTGATAGGAATTTCAATCTTATTGCTGCCAAAACTTGAGGGCTACCTGTAACAGGGAACGTACTGACATTTTCATATTTTAAGAACTGTGTGACACCCAAAAATGTTTTATATTTCTCCTGATTTCTGTGCTTTTTATTTTGAATTTTTCTCTTTGCAACTGCTGCTTTTCATTTTACTTTAACTTAAATATGTCTCTTGTGATCTAAATTACTTTTGTACGGAACATTTAAATGTATTTTTTGATTGCAGAATCACCTAATAATTACTGTTTTCATGTCAATTACAATTTTATTTTTTATTCTGGTATACAGAATAAATATATAAACAATAAACCATCTGGAGAAATATCAATTAAAAACAATCTGGATAAATATCATTTAAAAAAATAAAAACAGATTATTAAAATACACTAGTATTTTCATTGTTTATCTTACTTTGAAAAATTATCTGACTTTTGTTAAATCCCAGAATAAAAATCTTAAAACCTTGTTCAAGCCATTAATTCTTCCTATTTATAAAAAGTTACCTGTTAATCTCAGTTTTTCATCTTAGTAAAATGACTCCATGGCATAATTCTAAATGTTTGCTCTACTTGCTTTTATTATTAGGGTTTGTGTTTCTGTTCCAGTTTGTCTTGTATAAAGCTTTTTAATGATGGAACCAATGAAAATAGAGGGGAAATTCTGAGGAGCATCATAATGGCTGTCTATAATTTACTCCTGTTGTATTTTCATTTTGGCATATATGATTTAGTGAATTCCAATTTAATAAGGATTAATCAGTGATTCTCTTATTAAAAATGATACTGTCTTTAAGTGTCCCAATTAGGGTAATAACTCCTTAAGTCGAGTTGGGCCCATGATGATTATATGAAGATGTTCATGTAGTTTTCTTGGCAATTGTTATGAAAAAAATAGTTATGGGGCAGCAATTCTCTTCTGAAGTTTTCTCCCCCCCCTCATTGTTTGGGTAACTGTTCTCTATAAATCTGAGAGTTGTGGGAGTCTCCCACCCAAGTAGTCAGATACAGCTCATTATAATTTTATAAGATCCTTCATGATCAACCTGATTCTGCCAATGCTGATATTGAACAACTAACACCAATTAATTGAGGTTTGATTAAAGATTTAGATCTGCCTATGTAGGATCTTACGGCAATAGTGTAAATCCCATGTTTTGAAATGGGAGAAAAGAAACTCTCAAACAACCCAGAAGGGCAGAAAATGGTCCTACTGCTTGACTTTTCTAAAAGAAGGAAAATAAGGACCACAATCCTTTGATCTGAACAGGGAAATTCAGTGATAATATATAGAATAGAGCTGGAAGGGACCTTGGAGGTCTTCTAGTCCAGCCCCCTGCTCAAGCAGAAAAACCTATACCATCTCAGACAAGTGATTGTCTAGCCTCTTCTTAAAAATCTCCAGTGATGGAGTGCCCGTGATTTCTGGAAGCAAGCTGTTCCAATGGTTGATTGTCCTCACTATCAGGAAGTTTCTCCTTAATTCCAGGTTGCTTCTCTCTTTGATCAGTTTCCAACCATTGTTTCTTGTCCTGTCCTCTGGTGCTTTGGTGAATAATGTGACCCCTTCTTCTTTGTGGCAGCCCTTCAAATACTGGAATACTGCTATCATATCTCCCCTATTTCTTTTTTTCTTCAGACTAGCCAAACCCAAGTCCTGCAGCCGTTCTTCATATGTTTTAGTCTCCAGGCCTTTGATCATCTTAGTTGCTCTTCTCTGAAAATTTTCCAGACTCTCAACATCTTTTTTGTGATATCACAAAACATCAGTTTTGTGATCAAAACTGGCTGCAGTATTCCAGGTGTGGTCTTACTAGGGTTTTGTAAAGCGGTACTAATACTTCGCATGATCTTGATTCTATGCCTCTGTTTATACAACCCAGGATTGTAGTAGCTTTTTTGGCTACTGCTGCACACTGCTAACTCATAGTCAAGTGATCGTCCACTAGGCTCCAAGGTCCCTCTCACAGTTACTGTTTTTAAGCCAGGTCTCACCTAATCTGTACTTATATCTTTGATTTTTCCTGCCTAAATGTAAAACTTTGCTTTTCTCCACAATTAAGGAAATAAATGTGACAATGTCATATTCAAAATCCAAAATATGAAAATTCCTTCATTTCTTGTGGACAAAAGTCTAATAATTCTGGTATTAAGATCCCTTTTCATGTTCTTTATTTATTCTAGTTTACTAGTCTCCTGCTACATTTGTTTACCTCACGGCATCAGGCAAATATTGCATTGATGAATATATAACTTCAGAATAGAACTTCATGGAATTATACTGAGACTTCGGACTTGATTTGACCAGGTAGAGATTGGCAAAGTCTGTGTTTCCATAAAGATCTAAAAAGAAACAAAATTAATGGTAACTGTCTTTCAGGCATACTTGCATGATTGTCTTAAACTACTTTAAAAACAAATTATGCTGTATTTATGTCAAGCATTTCACAATAATATGAGAGTAAATTTGGTGTAATGGTTAAGACATCAGACTAAAAACTTGGACAGTTAAATTACAGTTAGTCCTCAATTTATTACCACAACGGAGCCCAACATTTCTGTTGCTAAGTGAGATATTTGTTAAATGAATTTGGCCTCATTTTACAACCTTTCTTTCCACAGTTATTAAGTGAATTGCTGCAGTTGTTAATTTAGTAACATGGTTGTTGAGTGAATCTGGCTTCCCTATTGATTTTGCTTGTCAGAAGGTCCCAAAAGGTGATCACATGAACCCAGGACACTGCAACCATCACAAATACGAGTCAGCTGCCAAGCCTCTGAATTTTTATCATGTGACCATTGGGATGCAGCAACAGTCATCATTAAATGTTGTAAGTCAAGGGCTACGTGTATAAGTTCCTGTTCCATGTTAAGCACGAAACCAGCTGGGTGACCTTGGGCTAGTCATGTTCTCTCTGCTCTCCTCTAAAAAACCTTGCCACAAAACCTACAGTGATCTGTCTAGGCATCATCATCATCATCATCATCACAGATGCAAATAATCTTGATTTTTAGGGGAATAAAACTGATCCCTAAAACAAAAAAAGGCTCCATATAATAGGATTTTCTATAGGTCTGTTGCATTGTTAAATCAACATTTTTTAAAAAAACACCTATTGGCCAGTGGAGTATAGTAAGTGTATTTGTAAATTATAATGTTTTTCTTGACAAACATGTATTTATATTGTTGACTAAATTATTATTAGCATATTGTATGATGCTAACAAACATACACACAAACCCAGTTACTACATACTATAGCAGCTTTCTGGCCTATGTTTTTTGGAAGTCCCCCTTCTACCTACTCTTGGATTTGTCAAGCTCAACAGGTGCAGCCACATATTGCCCACAGTAATGGAACAATTGTTGGCCATTCCAGTTGCTTTCTGCTTTTCATAGGATTACCTTTTCCATCCTTCCACTCCAGTGTTAGAAGCTTTAACCCCACACAGGCCTCCAGCAGCCTCTGCATCCCGATGGGGCTGGTGCTCAAGTGTTCAGCAACAGTTGTGGAAGACAGTGGTTCCCTCGACTCCCTCAGCAGATCAAAGACACCCAACTCAGAGGCAGTTGAAATGATCTAGGAAGAAGCAAGAGCAGGAAGAAAAGCTGTGGCATTTCTCTCAGTTCCCATCCAAACAATCCCAACATCTATTTGTTTACTGAAGAAAGAATCAAGCAGGCTTAAATATGTTAACTAGCCCCAAGAACAAGAAAAGGCATTATGTAGACAACCATTAGTTTGTGGAGTGACATCCCCTCTGTGCTGAATGTGGGTGTACTAATACCCATAAAAAACTAATATTCCTTTCTTGTACAATTCTGGGCTTTGCTCAACTTATTTATGGACTTATTTAGGCAAATCTTGATGGCCTCTAGGACCATGACTGATGATGTGTTCAATCACCAGAAAAGAAGATAGTCAGAAAGAACAGCATCCTTGGTGGAGAAGGAACAGGTACAGAAAGACAGATATCTCATCATACCACTATGATTCAAACTCCATGTTTTTTATATGTACTCTGTACTATTATTGAAGACATCCAAGAGGGGAATAAACTGCAGAAAAGAATATGTGTTCCGACCTGGCTGAGGAATCAAGCAGGGCGTCACATGTTAACCAACCCTACCAGCTATTGAGCAAGAGGAGAAAGGGCATATGTAGAGAGCCATTCGTTTGTGAGGCCACATCCCCTCTGTGCTGAATGGGTGTAGTAACACCCATAAAGCAACTAATGTTATAGGCTTTGTTCAATTTATTTGTGAAGTTTCAGGCAAAATCTATACACACATGCACACACACAATAAAAGAAAGAGAGACAGAGAAAGAAAGAGACAGAGACTGAAATAGCAACCAGATTTATTTATTTAGGTCCATTTCCTAGAAGCAATCTTAAGGGCTGCAGGGACCATGGCTGATGATGTGTTCAACTACCAGATAGGGAGGTAGTCAGAAAGAGCAACATCCTTGGAGAAGCAGAAGGGGAACAGAAACACAAATGCCTCATTATATCATTACAATTCACACTCTATCTTTTTTATATATATTCTATGCCAGGCATGTCAAACTCGCAACGTCACGTGACGTTGCACGACGTATCAGAGCTTTTTCTCCATTGTCAGCAATGGGGTGGCCGTAGTTTTGGGATGATGCATCCAGCCTGTGGGCCGGCAGTTTGACACCCCTGCTCTATGCTATTATTAATGGGATATATCCAAGTGGGGGAAAAAACTGAAGAAAAGAATATGTGATCCTACTGACTAGAGTAAAAAAAACAACAGATAATACATAGAATATACGAACATCCCATTGGGGAAGCAAAGTTTTATGGCAGAAAAAAATGATTCCATCTCTTTCTTAATGACATAACAATTGGCTGGATTAAAAGAGAATAATTAATGCTTTATGAATAGTAATTAAACTAGTACAAGAAGAAATTTTGAAGCTGCCTTCTACTATAGTAAACACTGCTGAAATCCCAGAATCAAAATTTCCTAAAATAATTTCAGCCAAAATTTAGCAAATAAAGGAAATATCAAGGCTTAAATGCGATATTAGGTATAGAATAGATATAGATTTTGTTGCAATATGAGAGTTAAAAACATGAAGAAGGGTATACAGTCACTAAATTATTTAGTAAACTAGCTGAGAGATTTATTCACAGAATTTAGTCCTTAGAACATGGAAACTGTAACCAACATGAACCTATAATCATCTGGGTAATAGAAAAGCAAAAGAGGCTATTAAAAACTACTGAGGAATTTACCTACATCTAAAGCAGGGCTTTTCAACCAGTGGTACGGGTACCACCTGTGGCACATTGGCATCTGGCAGGTGGTACGTGACCATCCTAGAAAAGTGGTAGCGGGGGAGGGGAATGAGCTTAACCGGGGCAGCGCCGCACAAGCCTGAGCAAGAGATGGCTGGAGCTGCAGGGCTGTCAGGGCTCAGCGGAAGCACCAGGATCAGCGCCAGGCTCCAGCTGGAGCTTGTTGCTGATCCTGGTGCTTCTGCTGAGCCCAGAAGAAGCGCTGATCAGCTGGAATGTTGCAGCATCTCCAGGGTCTTGTGATTTACATTCAGATGCTTGGCAACTGATTCATATTTATGATGGTCACAGTGTCCCAGGGTCATGTGAAGTGACCAAAACCTGCTGCAATCACCCAGCAGACGGGGGGAATAAAAACCAAACACCCCCATCCCACCCCCGCTGCCAATCCTCAACAGAAATGCTCACAACAATGAAAACCTCGGACAGGAGGAAGAGCACCGCTGGGTGCGCAGGCAGGTGTCTTGCTCGGCTGTGGCTTGGGGGCACTTTTTTCAGTGCCATTGTAACTTTGAACAGTCATTAAGCGAACTATTGTAAGTCAAGGAGTACCTGTACTTCATCACTTTTTTCCTTTTGGGGGGGGGTCATCAAGTTTTTGACACCTTGCTAGGTGACTGGTGGTATTCGGATATTGACATATCCTAAAAGTGGTACAATGGGTGAAAAGATTGAAAAGCCCTGATCTAAAGCATGGTGTAATAACATTTTGTAAGCTGTAATTGGGCCCATTTTAATTCCTGATTGACACAAGAAGACCATATTTGAGTGAGGAAAGTAATCTATTGATGTCCAGTGAAGCAACTCTGCTCAGAAGCAACAAGAAAGAATTTTGTGGCTATTTATTACTGGCCATTTCATCACCATATAAACTTTGGTGATTCTATTGCTTTTACAACTATTAAGAAATTGAGAAATGAAAAAGTTAAGATTTAATATTTGTGAGTATTACCCATCTTACCTTGAAAATTATAAATGAATGCTGGTATTGAAATAATGTTTGAATATTTTCAGTTTCTTCTGACGAACTCATTGTTCTTGGCTTGTCTCGTTGACCTAAAATGATCCTTTTCCAGCCAGATCACTTGTTATTCCTGAAGTAAAATTTGCAAAATATAGGTGTCCTTAAGATGTTCCAAGGTAAAGAGTGTTAAGCATTATTAATGATAAAACAAGGACACAGAAGGTTTTCAAAAGTCCTTCAACAATGGCTCCTGAATAAATTTAGCTGCCCTGGCATTAGAGGACAAGTGCTCTCATGGAACGGCCATTTGTTGAAAAGCAGGTACCAAGGGATAGGAGTAAATGAGCAATTTGTGTACTTGTATATAGGTCTTGTTGGCACACCTTAAGAAAAATATGATATAGCTATAAAAGATGTAAATTAAGGGCACCCCAAAATATTGGAAGGATGAAAGCACCCCTTTTGCAGCCAGATGGAGCTTCCAGCCTCCCCAATGTCCCCATCTGGCTAAAAAGTGTTTGAGCACCTATGGAGCACTTTGAAATGCTCCATTTCACTCCTTTTCAAAGTGCTCCATAGGTGCTCAAACACTTTTTAGCCAGACAGAGACCTTGGGGAGGCTGAACGCTCCGTCTGGCTGCAAATGAGGCATTTTTAAATGGAGTGTTTCAAAGCACCCCATTTGCAGCCAGACGGAACTTCAAGGCTTCCCAAGATCTCCATCTGGCTAAAAAGTATTCCAGCAATGATGGAAAAGAGTTGGGGGGAGCAGGAAACAGGTATCCCATACACTTTTCGCCCTGAAAATAAAAGTTTCTGGGGTCCATGATCTCTCAAGAGTTCAGGCACCCATTCTCTGAACTTGTGCAATATTACAGCACCCAGGAGTTTTCATTTACTCTCCTCTCCCTCAAAGCAGCAGAGAGGAGAAATGGCAATCGAGAGGATTTTTGCAAGGTAAGTGAATCTGGCATGGCAGAATGGGAGAGGTAAGCAGTTGTGGGAGGGGGGAGAATAGGGTGAATTTTGCAGAGCCTCTGCAGTCATTCGTAAGGCAAACAACTACTGTGGTGCAGCAACATTTGTAATTTTGGGAGCTACTCATAAACACTAGGGGGTGCTTATTGCGTAACTTTAAACGAGAGCTAAGTGAATGCTCGTAACTCAGGGATTACCTGTACTGCCTCTCGTCTTTAATGCCCTCCACTCATAAATTCCATAATGTCTGCCTGACCTTATTTCTCTTGAGGACCCAGGAGGTAAGGCTTTCTTTCCCTTCAGGGAGCCTGTCCCCTGGTTCTCCTTATCTGACTTGGGAAAATTAGTGTCAAAACTGTTCTGAGAATTTTCCTTTAAACTATTTGAGAAAATGGGAAATGATGAGAAAAGAGAAAAGGCAGAAAAAAAAGAACTAACTTTTTGTTTCAGGAAAATATGTAGGAATCAGGGTTAAGTCTATGTATACAGCTAAGAACAACAAATTTTAGAATATGGAAATTGGGGAAATAGTGTGAGAAGTTTTATATTGAAATATATTTTATTCTTTATACTGTTTCCATCTTCCCTTAACAGAATTCACAGAATTCATAATGGACTGGAAATCAGCGTCTCCACTAGATAATTGATAGTCAAGCTAAAACTAAGTTAATCAAGTAAAAATAACAAACAGGGGAAAATCTTTTACTTAAACTTCTTCAAACCCTCAAATACGTATCCCAGATCTAATCCACATATCAAAGATAAGGTCTGTAAACACAAATAGAGTTAATTAAATTAGGTCTTCCAGTAGAACTGCATGTTCACAAGAATAAACTATAAATATCATAGATGACATACCTACATGCACCCATGGTGCTCAAATGTTATCTAGAATCAGCACGTAGATATTTCCATACCCAATGGAAAGTATAAAAGTATGCCCCATTTCTCGGCAGCTGCCCCCGAAGTAAACTCTTTGCTTTTGGGAATAAATATTTCTCTTTTCCTCACAGCTGTCTGAATCTCATTTTTATTTATTCTTATGCAATCCCGAATCAAGTTGGAACCCCAAATTATTCTTCTGACAATAGTAAAAATACATTTCTCTAAGAAAGATATGCAAAGAAAATTTCAAATGCTAACATTTAGATAGTTATTAGAATATGGAAAGATGGGGGAGTTGAGAAGGGCAAGAACTAACCACCTAGTTTCAGAACAAATGTTTAAAAATAGAAATTTAAGCATTAAAGAAGGTGGAACCCAAGACTTAAAATATTAAAATAAACTTGAAATACTATTATTGCAATGATTATTATATGCATACATTGTAGTGTAGTAGAAAAACCACGATACTTACATCAGAAGACAAGACCATGAAGGGTTGGAGAAAACAGGTTTTAGAGCAAAGGTTCAGAGTATTCATATGACAAATTCTGAACCCTGAGTTACTCCCAGGGTGTCATTTTTATACAGCTTGTCACCCACGCTTTTACCCAAGGGATCTACCTTTAACATACTAAAAGAGAGAAGTTCATATCTTGAGACCACACACATAGGAAAAGGAGAAGTTCACACAAATGATTTAAAGTCACAGGTGGTATAAGATATTACCACACGGCCCTACACGGGTAATATCTTATACCATCTGTGACTTTCAGTTGACACTTCTTGTAAAATGTTTTCTTCATAGAATTGCACACAGGTCATCACACTCAGCCAGTTTATAATATTAGTTAATGCTTTCAAAACATGACTCCTGTTAATTAAAATATAATTTAAATGTACTTTATCATTTCTCTTAATGGCAATTTTTCATCTACCTCAGTAGAATATATAAAAAGATTTACTACTAGATATTTTTCAGACTAAATATTAACTTAGCTACACTAATCAGGATGGGCAACTTCTAGAAATCAAGTTAACTAACGAGTATAGTCTTATTTGCCTTCTGCTTTTTTTCAATTTCCTTTTTCTTGATTATTACATGGTCTAATTTGTAGATACTATATATTTCTCTAAAGACCTTGGCTGGTGTAATTCCATATAAAAGAAAAGCCATAAAAAACTGGATAGAAAATCTGAGATTAGTAGCCTCTTACAGATACTACAGTCCATGCTTCGCAAACAGGAAGTGCTGAGTTTAGTGGTTGAAGTCTTACCCAAACAGCCAAACAGATTCCAAGTCAGTCTTTCAAGTAATAGTTTTATGAGATGCTCAGGATAAGCCTCAATTTCAAGCAATTTCAGCACAGCACAGGGGTGTTAACAGGACTTGTTCAATCAACCTGCCAAGCCAGTTCTGATCTAGCCATCACTTCATTGTAGATGAAGTATCTCTCTTCAGAAATTCCAAGGACAGATGCTAATTGATAAGACTAGAAGATTTCAGTTAAGAATGTAAGCAAACCTGCTTCATTAGTCATCAGAGAATTATTTCTACAAGATAATGCACATTGATATATGACTCCAGAAAAATTATTCAAAATGTGTAAGGGCATTTCAAATTCATGTTGAAAATCTTGGCAACACAACTGATCATTTTATCAAGCCTCATGGATTTATTAAAAAGATAGGACCTGGTTTCATACTGTGCTAGAACCCCGCCTACCACATATTTTGGGGGCTGGCTGCAAAAGTGGGGAGAACTAATTTTTAGAAAGTGGATCCCTTTCTAAAAATAGTTTTCATCTGACATCTCCTGCAAGTTTGAAAATCAAGTTAGACCAGGACACCCAGTGCTTTAAAAAGAGCAACCACCCACCCAACTCCTAATAAAAAGCCAAAAAACATTATTTAGCATGAAGAATTTATTTATGTCTAAAGGCCAAGCAAGTCTTCGGCAAAACAGGTGTAATTATGTACAAAGTCAAGTAAATCTGGATATAAAATCTGTTATTAGTAGCCTCTTACAGATAATGCAGTCCCTGATTCACAGACAGAAGTTCTGAGTTTAGTGGCTAAAGTCTTACCCATCTGAGTAGAGGAGATTCCAAAACAGTCTTTCAAGTGATAGTTCCATGAGATCCGACTTTCTTGGTTTTTTGCTTGAAAATGTTTCACTTTTCATCCCAGAAGCTTCTTCAGTTCTGACTGAATAGTGGGAATGGAAAAATTTATCTTCTTTGCAGTCATCTTGTTGTTAGCACTCTGTCATTTGCTCATTGAGAGTGCTCTGAGACAGTTGTTGAGATCACTTGGGGGGTTTAGCTATACCAGTGATGGCAAACCTATGGCACGGGTGCCAGAGGCGGCACTCAGAGTCCTCTCTGTGGGCACATGCGCCGTCGCTCCAGTCCTAGGCCTTCAGCTGGGTTTTATAAAACCTTTTCACTTTAGGCTTCCACCGCCATGTGCAAAAAAAAAAAAAAAGGTTCAATCAGTCAATTTCAACTTCTTGCAGGAAAAAAAAAGATCTTGCAAAGTTGGAATTGATTGATTGAACGTTTTAGTCCCACCCACTGTTATCACCACAGCCAACCCCACCCAATGGGCCACACCCACCCAATGGGTAATGCCCACCCAATGGGCCACACCCACCCAATGGGCAATGCCCACCCAATGGGCAACGCCCACCCAATGGGCCACGCCCGCCTGGGACCCAACAATGCATAAGTGGGTTTTGGGTTGCAGTTTGGGCACTCAGTCTCTAAAAGCTATACCCTCAGGGTCACCTGAATCAGAGTGCCAATGGGTGTGAAACCTTCTTGGACAGCTGAAAGGACTGTATTGTAGACAGGAGATAGATGGTATCATATCCCCCCCCCCTCTGTTGAGAGAAGGCTGATCAATTTTAACATAGATGGCCTCTTTAACCCATCTTTCAAACCACTGTTTTTCTCTGTCCAGAATGTGAAGAACTTTGCTGTCTTCAAAAAGGTGACCTTTGTCTTTCAGATGCAGATGGATTGCTGAATCTTATCCCAATGGATTTGTTCTCCTGTGTTGTGCCATGCATTTGTGAAGTGGTTATTTTGTTTCCCCAATGTACAGATCTGCACATATCTCACTGCATTGCACTGCATACACCAGTGGTGGCAAACCTATGGCACACATGCAGAGGTGGCACTCAGAGCCCTCTCTGTTGACACGTGCACCACCACCGCCAGCAGCAGGTCCATCAGGCTGTCACCGCTGCCCAGAGCAGGAGCCCCACCCAGCAAAAAGGAGGTGAAGTGGCCAACTAGCAAGCTCGAGTAGAGGTGGTAGAGCAGAGGTCACCAATCATTGTTGATTGGTGGACTGGAAGAAAAGGGAGGGGCAAAGCATTTTACATGCGTGCATGCGTGCATGGGGCCGCGAGCATGTACGTGCTGTAAATGGGGTGGGGCTAGTGCATGCATGATACTGACTAGCCCTGCCCTGTTCTTGCATGATGCAGTGCCTTGTATCTGCACCCCACAGTGTGGCAACGGCCATTTTTGCGCCTTGCAGCACGGTGGCCTATTTTTGCACCCCCTGTTTTTGCGTGCCAGAGGCGGCACTCAGAGAAGCCTCCCTGCCCCCCCAGGGCACCACAATGCTGATGCGGCCCTGGCACTTTGCAATAAATAAGTGGGTTTTGGGTTGTGGTTTGGGCATTCGGTCTCTAAAAGGTTCGCAATCACTGGCATATACCAACCAGATTGCTCAGTTTATATCTGGGTGTTTTATCCTTGGGATGGACAAGTTTCTGCTTTAATGTATTTTTGCATTTAAAATATGCATGTATGTTGTGTTGGTTGAAAATCTTCCTGAGCTTTTTAGACATTCCTGTATGGAATGACAATGTTGCTTCATTTGTTTTTCTCTTCTTTGTTATGGAGGAGCTCCCATTGGATCTTTTTCTGGATTTAATGAAGGCTCAATTGGTCTTTTCTAGACTGTGTACTACACAGCCTAGAAAAGTCAGACAATTTTCTTTAATATCTTCCCATGTGAACTCTATGCCCACAGCATTGATATGTTTGATGAAGGCTTCTACTTCCTGTGTTTAATTTTGACCCAAGTACCATCCACATATATATACCAGTGAGTGGGTGGAATTCCTGTGAAGGAGTTTAGGGCTTTGATTTCTACTTCTTCCATGTAGAGATTGGCCAGAATAGGGGACACATGAACCCATGTTTTTGCCTGTAGAAACCTTCATTGTAGCTAAAATCGGTAGCAGTCAGGCATGACCTGGATGACAAAATAATATAGGTAGTGGGACAACCATGAACTGGATGATTGAGATTCTCAGGATAAGCCGTAGAGAACAGATATATAAAAATGTTTTTACTATAAAAATAATAATGGCATAATATTAGTTTCTTATTTAAATAATACCAATTAGTTTCCTGCTTTTTTTTAGTATAGCTTTCTGGTTTCTATGTTGTATTTCATGTAGGATTTGCTGTGCATTTTCTCTTTTATCTATTTACATTTAATTTCTTCTTCCATTTGATAGCGCTGTATTATCAGAGGTTGTATTTGGACTAGTCAGTTTTAACCTTGGCTCATGTCCCATGACTCTATGAGGAAAATGCTGTTTCTTTTTCACTCTCATGCCATTCTCCAGCTGCTGGCTGTTTCATTTTGAGGGAGGGGGAGTCTGCCACCCCCCTGAAGTTTCTAGAGCTGGGTTGATGTTTCCTTCCAGAGATGTGACCACTGGGATGGGGAAGATGGTGTCCGATTACATTTATCCTTGCTGCCATCTCCATTACTCCTCTTAACTTGTGGTGCTTCCCTTCCCTTCCTAACAGCATTTTAGCATGGCTGTTTGGTTAGATTTTCTTAACTGGGCGTTTGCTCTTCTTCAGCTGGACGTTAGTTCTTCCATGGAATCCAATGGTAACAAACTCAGACCTGACATTGGGAATGTTTGACTAATCCTGGATGGTAGCTTGAAGATACTTATAATTGAAACAAAGAGCAAACACTACTAAAAATGTGTCATGAATTGCAAGCCAGAGTCCATGAAATGAAATTATGTAGAGCAGAGTAGTTAAGCAAAACCTGAAAATTTAACCTATAATACTTCAAAGGTCAGATGTTAAGTGATGAGACCAGAAGATTTCAGTTACAGTAGAAACATATGTACTTTACCTAGAAAATATTGTTTGGTATGTTTTGCTAGTTTATTTTATTTAAATGGTTGCCCATCCCACAGCAGTACCTCTGTTTTTCTATTCTTGCAGTTATTTACCAATTTGACCAGTTGGTTTGTGTTCACATTGTCCAAATGAGGACAGAGGCATTATTAAACAGTCAATAAAGGAATGGTGGTTCTCAGTTCCTCCTTATATTCATATGGAGGATAATATTAAAAGTGAGAGCTGTTAAGTAAATGTTCATCCTGCAGACCATTCAAATCACCACAGATTCTTCTTTTGAGGCTATGGGATTTGCAGGTTTCATTACTTTAGGACATGTAAAAGGAGTGGAATGATCCTAGAGATTAACAGTGTATAAAATCTGAGAAGAAAATATGAAAATATATAAGAATAGGTAGGAACAGTTGGAATTCAGTTGTAGAAGAGTTACTAAGTTAATTCATAGGGAGTTGGAATCTACTTCAACTTTTCATCAATGCCAG